AAGTAGTTCTTCGTAGAACACGTTCCATAAGGCAGGACCGAGTACCGAACCCTGTGGGACCCCGCACGTGACGCTCCTCGCTGTTTGTGCCTCTCCGACGAGGAGGGTCCTGTTCTCCAGATAGGATCGTATCATGCGGTTCAGGTGGGATGGGACCAGCCTTTCGCGGAGAGCGGCGTCGATCCGAGGCCACGGGGCGGTGTTGAACGCATTGCGCACGTCGAGGGATACGACTACGCACAGGTCGCGGTGTTGGACTGCGCCCGATGCGGCTCCCCGGGCTGCGCTGATTACGCGATCGATTGCGTCGTCGGTGGATCGTCCTTGCCGAAACCCGTACTGGTTCTCGGACCTTTGTCCGGTCGAGTCGAGGTGCAGGTTGAGTCTCGTCAGCAACAGTCGCTCCAGGAGCTTGGCCGCGGAGTTGAGCATGCATAGTGGCCTGTAGCTCGATGGCTCGAGGATCGGCTTTCCAGGTCCCTTGTGGAGAAGGACGAGCCTGGCGGTCTTCCATCGTGCAGGAAATTCGTTCCTGAGCAGGCAGCAGTTGTAGGTGTTCAGAAGAGCTTGTGGGGCGGTTTTGGAGACCCGGAGGAGGACCTCGTTGGGAATCCCGTCTGGTCCCGTGGCTTTGCCCGCCGGCAGCCGTGTGCACGCTTCTCGCAGCTCATCGAGTGTAAACAGGTGTGCTTGCGGATCGCCGGGGTCGTCGATCAGAGGTTGCTCGAGTGACCATTCGGTTGCTGGAGGTTCCGGAAAGAGGTGATTGGCAATCGAGTCCTCCCTGCCGCGCGCTTCGACGCCAGGGCGGCGGCGGCCGATCTTCTTGGTCACCACCCTGTAAGGTAGGCCCCAAGGGTCGTCGTCGACGGCTTTGCACAGCTCGGCCCAGCTCTTGGCCTGGGCGTCGCGGATGGCGTTGCGTAGTTCTTTGCGCTTTTCCGAGTAAGCCAAGCGGTGGGCGTCTATCAGGTCTTGATTTTCGTGCCTCCGAGCGGACCGTTGGAGCGCTCTTCGTAGCTTGATCGTGGTATGTCGGAGCGCGGCCAGATCCCTTGACCACCAGTGAGCTTCGTTTCTGCCTGCTCTACGAGGGACCCTAGGGGGCATGCAGGAATTACAGGCCGCCTCCAGGTATTCGATCAGTTGATCGGCTGCCTGAGATGCGGTGGTAGTGTCGTTGACGTCGGGTTGAGCCGTGTTAGCCAGGTGAGTGGCTAGAGCGACTGGGTCCAGCTGACGGAATGACCAACCTATTGCATGGTTGCCCCCAGTATCGTCCACGTCGGGAGTCGGGTCCATGGTAAACTCGATGTAGCGGTGATCGCTGGCTGACTCCACGTCTTCCAGGACTCTCCATCCGCGTATGGCGGCGGGTGCGACGAGGCGTGAGAACGTGATATCGATGATCGTCTCTGCGTTGATCCGCCGGTAGGTGCCCGTGTCGCCGGTGTTCTCGACGCTCAGCCCAAGACTGGCAGCGAGGTCGGCCAGCTGCTCGCCCCTCCGGTCGTTGCGCGCCGAGCCCCACTCTTGCGACCAGGCGTTGAAGTCGCCGCCGATCAACACGTGAGTTCGGGCGTCGCACTCCCGCACGGACTGGTGGATTTCGTCGAGAAATGTTGCGAACTGTTCATTGGGGACGTTGCGGGAGGTGTAGCAGCTGTATATCCTTAGCCCGCGTCCCTGGATCCAGGCGAAGCCCGAACCGGACCCTTTCGATTCGGGGACGAAGTCCGCTGAAGCAGTGAGGACAACTGCGCAGGAGAGATCATTGCTGACTGTCCATCTGTCGTCGCGTGTTGGACTCCAGTTTTGTTCGGAGACGAGGAGGACGTGGGCTCTCCTTTCAGCCGAGGTCTGCTGCAGAAGGCTCTGGGCGGTGGCACTCCGTTGTAGGTTAATCTGGATGATGTGCATCATGTTCGGTTCTTTATTGACTTCATCTCTGAGATGGCTTTCCTTCGGGCGGCGCAAGCCCCGGAGCCGGGCTTGTGAGGCACGCGTGGGGCCTTGATGCGGTCGCAGGCGACGCACAGGTCCGCACCCTCAGTGCATGTGGCCTCGGTGTGTCCGTTCTGTCCGCATCTTCTGCAGGCGTGAGAGAGGTCGTTGCCGGTGCACTGCCGCGTGGCGTGTCCGTAGCCGTGGCAGCGGTAGCACTTCGCCGGCTCCGGTCTGCGCGGGCGGACCCGGCACTGAGTCCAGCCGACGCGGACGGATGTCAGACTCCGACCGATGGCGATGGGCACTGTTGCGGTGGCCATTTGGCGGCTATCCCGCGTGGCCCACAGTCCGGTTATCTTGACCTCATCTTCAGAGAGAGGTTGGCCGTCCGGCGCGCTCTTGAGAATCGCGGAGAGGACCTCTTCTTTGGTGGTGACCTCGTCGAGGTCGGTTATTTCGATTTCGGCGGTGTGCCGGAGCCTGGTGACCACGGCTCCTGCCATGTTTTCGGCGAGCTTGTCGCGGATGGCTGAGGTGGCAGCAGTGGCCTTTGCGCCCTTGGTCAGCTCGACGAGCAGGTCGCCTTTGAGCGTTCTCCTCATTGAAGTCACGTGGGTTCCGAGTCCTTCGAAGTCTATTTCGGTGCCCCTAACTTGGCGCAGGGTGTCTGCATAGGACTTGCCTTCAGGGACCTTGACGAGCACGGCGGCTGGTCGAAGGCGGGCCGGTCTGGAGGGTCGAGTTGTGGGGGCGTTTGACTTCCTGGCGGGTCTCGCTACGAGCGTGAAGGGCTCGTCTTTTTCTTCTTCCTTGTCGGCTGAGGGCGGCGCGGACGGTTCGATGGTCGGGTTGTGCGTTTCCTGAAGTGTGGCGTTGCGATTAGGGGTCCTGACATCGAGCTTTGATTTGGTAAGCTTTTTCCTCTGCCGCTGTCTGTTGCCTTTGCTAGGCGCGTTGATCGGTTTGGGAACGTCGGGCTCGGTGGCGGTAGCGGCATCCTTTTTGGCAGATGGCGGCCGTTGGTCCTTGCCGAGGTGGTTCAGTGCGTTGCAGACCTGCTCGAGTGCTTTGACAACTTTCGATAGGCAGGCGCCGATGTGATCTTCGCTGTAATATTCTTCGGCGAGGCTTTGGACCAGCTCGTAGGCGTATACGGTGGCTTTGGTCGCTGCGCTGAGCGCACCGTCAGTGTCTGTCGTGGTCGGTGTTTTGATTGCTGTCAATGTTTTAGAAGGGATCTTTGACGCCTTCTTTTTGATCGGGGTGTCCGTGGTCGGTGAGCTCGCCCTCTTGTGCTGAGGATTTTTGTTCGGATTGCTTTCCATGTCCCAGCTGTCTGGGATATGTGACTGCATGATTTCCTAACCTGGAAAAGCGGGGTCGCGAAGGACAGGAAGAGAAAAAAAAAAAAAAAAAAAAAAAAATTTTGGGGGGGGGATTTTCAGTTTTTTCTGTTGGGGGGACCTCGTCCGGGAGGTGCCTCTGGGCCTTGTGCCCGGGTCCTGAGGTCGTGGGACCTTTGTGGACCGAGTTATGGGAGTTTTTTGGAAACGGGGTGAGGGGAAAACTTTCGCGTGGGGGTGGGGGCCGCTGCCCCAGCCACGTGGCTGTTTTCCGCAGCGCTCTCCGAGCGCTGGTTCTCGCACACCGGCGTTTTCAAATTTTCCGATTTTTTCGGTGACCGAGTGACGTTCGCGTCGCGAGTCGTTCGCGTCGCGTTGACGTTAGAACGAATGTCGCGGATTTGCGACCGGCCCGATGGCAGTGGCAAATCCGTTATCACGGGGATCGGAGCCGCGTGATAGTACGGGCGGCCGTGTTATTCTTATGGGGTGTAAGTATAGTGTACTCACCTGGGCCCTTGAGGTCGGATTTGCCCGTTCGGAGTCTTATTAATTCGGGCTCGACGAGACGGACCGGATCAGCTGATGGACCAGGACGTGCGACGTCTGGTCGTAGCTGGGTGGTCGCTTTTGTCGGCCGATATTGTGCTTGGCAGTAGTTGGTCTGGTGGGCTGGTTTCTGCAGCAAAACTGAAATTCGAACTCGCGTTGTGACCGGACTGTCACCGTGCACTTGACACGCGATCCGGTTTTTGCGTTTGGGTTCGCGGGCGTCGGATTTGGCGAACTTTGTGCGGCTGCGTAATTCGGTAGCGATTTTTCGCGGCGGCGTCACAAAGCGGCGTCGGCTTTTGCCGGGCGGCCGACTACGGACCCGCTGAGTACACCAAAAGATGCGCACGGGCCGTGCGGATTTTTTGATGTATCGAACGGGTGCGTGCGGTGTTTGGGAAAACTGCAGCGGCGGAACTGGTGTAGCCGTGAAGTCAGGCGGCCGAACGCGGTGCGCTTAGGTCGCCGTTTCTCACTGGGTTTAAGACCTACGATCGCGCGCGATGGCTTTTTCACTCAGTGGCGGGCAGCTGAAGCGATTGAGACTTAAATCGGGCGAATCGGAGGAACTTTTTGGTCGAACTTTTTAACCGGCGGCGGGCGGCGGAATTTCGCACACTGTTTTCGCGATTTCTCGGGCGCGGCTGGGCCGATTTCGACGCGCGATGTCTTGGCGTGACGGCGGTGACGAGACGAATCGATAGGTACCTGAATCGATCAGATAGGTTTGATGTTTTCGGCGAAAACAAAAAACTCGACGGGAGCGATGCGGAGGTGCGTGCTGTCGGTTTCGTGGTCGGAGCCAGACTAACCTTTTTTTTTTTTTTTTTTTGTGTTTGAATCGACGACGCCACGGGGACTGCTTTCGCATTGCGTCCGTGGCGCCGCCATCGTTTATTGCTAAATAAAAAATTAACAATTTATACATACGGATGGGGTAGGCGGGACAACACCCCGACTTGCCCCATCGTTAACATAACATTTTATACATCATTCATTTACATCTTTCATTTTTATTTTGTAACGCCTTCCTCCTCTTGTCTTGTCGGACCGACCGGAGTCCGTCGCCCTTGTAATCTCGTGCTTGGTGCTCAACCTTTCGACGGGCCGACCGGAGTCCGCCGCCCTGGATGTCGCGTGCGTCCGTCTGATCCTCTCCTAAACCCTCCTTGGTCTTGGTCCACCTGGACGCTCCCTGTCTCTTTCGTCAGACTCTTTCTTACTCATCACCGCTCTGGCAAAGTCTTTGACGGCCTGCCAGTTTGCATGAGAGGACAGCATGGCAGGCACGAGGTTGTCTACTGATACCGTTCCACCAGTCGCGCGTGCCAACTGCAGCCTCTCCTCGACCCATGCCGGGCATTCGACCAACGTGTGTTCTGCGCTGTCGCGGCATGCGTTGCAGTGGTGGCATGCGTCTGACTCCTCTTTGCCGATTCTGTGGAGGTAGACTCCAAAGCAACCATGTCCAGAAAGGATTTGGGTTAAATGAAAGTCTAGGTCCCCTTGTTTGCCGAGGCACCACCTTTCAACATCGGGGATTAACCGTTTGCTCCATTCACCGGATATAGACTCGGCGATGCGGGCTTTCCACTTCGCCATTGTGGAGGCGCGGGGAGAGAACTCACTGCGTACTCCAGACCTCCTTTCGCTGAACGTGGCACTGCGTTCCTCCGCCAGTAAGTCGGCAGGCGGCGTGCCAGCCAGGATGCTTGTTGCTGTTTCCGAAACTGTTCGGTAGCCACAGATGCTTCGGAGTAGTGCCTTTCGCTGCACGCCATTTACCAGTGACTTGTTTCTCGGGACCAGGGACATTGTCTCCGCCCATGATGGTGCTCCGTAGAGGAGAATCGACGTCGTTACTGATAACAGAAGCTTCCTTCTGGACTCTTTTGGGCCTCCGATGTTGGGCATAAGTCTCCCTAGGGCGCTTGACATTTTTTCCGCCTTAGATGCGGCTTCGACAATGTGGTCCTTGAAGAGTAGGCCGCGCTCCACTATCATCCCCAGGTATTTCATCTTGTCCTTCGGCTGGATGGTTTGCCCGTTAAGTATCAGCCTTGGGGTTTCATACTTGTATTTGTTGGAGAACACGACCGCCTCGGTTTTGTGTACCGCCAGTGACAGTCCCATGTTCCGGATCTCATTGGAAACCAAAGAGAGCGTCTCGTTGGCTATTGTTTCCAGCTCTGGTATGGTTTTCCCCGAGCATACGACTAAGGTGTCGTCGGCGAAGCCGATCAGTCTGGACCCCCGCGGGAGTTGGAGTTGGAGAATCCGATCATAGGCGAGGTTCCAGAGAAGCGGGCCGACGACAGAGCCTTGCGGAACGCCACTCGACACCTGAATCTCCACTTTTTGGTCTCCAGCCGAGGTTTCGGCTGACCTCCCGGAAAAGTAGTCCTGGAAGACTCTTTTCAGGTACATGGGGGTTTCGGCCTGGCTTAGTGCTAGCATGACCTCGTTCCAGCCGATGGAGTTAAAGGCATTCTTGATATCCAGGCTGATTGCCACGCAGAACTTTGACGATGGGAAATTTATTTCCGTTAGGATCGTACTCTGGAGTTTCCTCACCGCGTCGTCCGTGGACAGCTGCTTGGTAAAACCAAACTGGTTACGGGACAATCCGCCTCTACCGGCAATGTGTTCGTGTAGCCTTGCCACCAACAGGGACTCGAATACTTTACCTACCACGTTCAGGAGGCAGATAGGTCTGTATGAAGCAGGCTCCCCATCTGGTTTGTTGCCCTTCTTTAGGAGGATGACGCGGGCTCTCTTCCAGCCGGAAGGGATCACTCCTTCTTTTATGCACTGGTTAAACATTCCCAGTAGCATGGACGGGCATACCTGGTGAACAACGCTAATTATTTTTCCATTTATGTTGTCCATACCTGGGGCGGTGTTTTTCCGCTTGATTCTTTCAACCGCTTTGTTAACCTCCTCTGTTGTGAAGGGTGGAGGCGTCTCATTTACTTCGAGAGTTTGCATCGTCATCGGGGGATGGACGGGGAAGAGTGTTTCCGTGATTCGTCGTACTGATTCGAGTTCCATGTTGCTTGTTGCGGGAGGACCGCGTAGTCTTCGAGCGACCAGCTTGTAGGGTTTTCCCCATGGGTCATTGTCGATTGTTTCTAGTAATTCGTTCCAACAGTTCTTTTTGCTCTGCGCGATGGCGATTTTCAGTCCTTTCCTGGCTTCCTTATAGGCGGAGTTCGCGGTGATTGCAGTTTCCTCTTCAATAGCAGAGTATTGTCCACGTGCGCGGTTGCGGTGGAGTTTTGAGGCACATCTGGTTTTGGTTCGCTTCGCCGCCACGCATTTTCTTCGCTCGGAGGCAATTTCTTCGTTCCACCAGTGAGCCGGAGGTTTCCCCGTAGGGTTAGGAACCATGCGCTTGAGGGTGAAGTCGCAGGCCTTAGTGATGGACTCGTGTACGGCCTGGGCTCGTTGTTCGGCATTGGCAGATGTCGCAAACAGGGTGGGATCGCTGGTCCACCTCGCCAGAAGAAGTCCTATTTCCATGTCTTGGCTGCTAATCTCGCCTTCGGTCTTCCAGCCCCTCGGCTCGTTTCTGATTGCGGGCGCTCTGGTTCTAGTATCCTCTATTTGAAACGCGATGTACTGATGGTCAGACATGCTTTCCACCTCGTCGCACACGCGCCATCCAGAGACGCGTCTCACAAGGGACTCGGACACGGCAGTGATGTCTACTATAGAGCCTCTACCTATGCCCACAAAGGTTGGCTTTGATCCCTCGTTTAGGACCTGCAGTCCAAGAGAGTTAAGCAGCGTGCTCAGATCTTCTCCTCGGGTATCGCGGCACCAGTCTCCCCATGCCGCTGACCGCGCATTGAAATCTCCTGTTATGAGTACTGGGACCCCTGGTTCGACGGCTCTGACCTTGTGTTCCAATCTCCGCAGGAGGTCTTCAAACTCGGCCCGAGACTTGTTGGGTGAAGCGTAGCAGCTAAAAGTCTGGACTCCGTTGATGCGAGCGGACACGAACTCTGGATCTCTGTGGATTTCGGCTGCGGTGACTGCGTTGCCTACGAGCCAAATGGCTGCTCTCTGGGTTCCAGAGCTGGTGAACCATGAAGTTGCTATTTCGGGAGCAGAATAGGGGTCGGTGATGAGCACAACCTCCACGCGCTGCTCGGCCACATGCTGCCGGAGCAGGTCCTGAGCCACTTTGCAGTGGTTCAGGTTGCATTGAATGTATTTAATCATTTGGAGGAGGGTTCCTCTCAGGCTCCTCGCATTGTAGCGGCGGAGTCCTGCTTCGCGTCGGTTTGGTTTTCTCCCTTGGTGGAGCAACACATTCTCGAGCCAGGTGTTCCAGAGATTTACACGTGAAGCACGCTTTCGGCTTCGCCTCTGAGTTGCAAGCCGCGGCTACGTGCCCTGTCCCTTGGCATTTATAGCACACTCTGTCCTTCCTCTCCAACAGTTTTGCTCTGCACATCGCCCAGCCTATGCGGATTCTACCAGCGTCTGCCACTTTTGAGGCTACCTTCATCGGTATTCTACAAAAGGCTGTTCGGCTTCCTTGGTTATCAGATATTCTGATTTGACAGTCCCCGAAACTGCTGTCAAAGTTTACCAGCTGCGAAATCACTTCCGCCTCCTCTATCCAGTTTGGCACGTCCAGGATAAGAATTGGGGTGCTTCTAGTCGGTCTCCTAACAGCTGCTGCTGCTCCAACGGCCTCCCTTATCCCTTCTGCAAGTCTGTCGGCGTCATCCTTTCCGTCTACTTCAATAATGATGCCACCTGCCTTTGAGCGTTTGGCACCTCTCACCGTGACACCGAGTGGGTTAAGGTCGATGGCAGTAACTCTTTTCATTACAGAGGCGTAGGTTTCTCCCTCGGCCAGTTGGTCTATCATTATAGCCTCAGTCTTTGGGGTCCTACTCTTCACCAGTCTGGCAGCCTCTTTCCTCTTATTCTTGGTCTTTGCTCGTGGCTCTTCCCGTTGCTGTTGCTGTTGGGCTTGGCGAGGATTCCTATTGCTCTCTTTGCGGGTTCTTCCAACCACCTGACTCCACGTGGGCTGCTGCTGCGATTGGGGCTGATCCCGTTCTTGCCCCTGCTCCTGCTCCTGATGGTGTTCCTGGTCCTTCTCCAGTTGTACCTGTTGACTTGGTTGCCGTTTTTTCCGTTTTACGGGCAGGGTTGCCTGTTTAGGGTGCTTCTCGGGCTGCTGCTGCTGCTGCTGCCGTTGTTGTGGCATGTCAGCTGGTGGGCGAAGTGTTCGGTCCAGGTCAGAAATTATTTTGTCCAATTTGCGATCTTGACATGCAAGCCGTTCGTCCTGGCTGTTAAACCTATCTTGAGAACCCTGCATATCGTCACCGTGATCTACAACTTGCTGCTTTTGGGTCAGCTCTTCAATTTTCTGCAGTATGCTCTGTTGGTGCTGCAGTTGCTCCTCGCGTATTGTGTTGATCAGCTTCGTGGTTTGCGCGTGCTGGGTTTGCTGCTGATGCTGCAAGTTCCGAACACGAAGTTCAGTAGCATCCGGATTTCGGGTCATCCCAATCATTCTTGCACTGTTCTGGAATTCCCTGAAGCATATGCCTAGGGCCCTAATTCCATTTTTGATGTCCAGTTTCGTGTTGGACGCAGCTTGGACTGCTGCTTCCAGTGCTTCCAGATGAGTCTGCGTGTCTCCCAAGAGTTTGGTATACTTCGCTTCAGCTTGTGCGCGCGTTATCGTGTTGTCTCCAGATTTTCCATTGTCCGTGTTCTTTTTCGAGTTTACGGTGATTACCGTTGTGGGAACGATTGATGGCTGGCCCCCCCCAGAATCCGTGGGGCCTGTCTCCTCGGAGAGTGGATTCCCTGGCTTAGCCAGTTCACCACCTGGGGTAGAATTTATCTTATGTTGTGAATCCATCTTTCGAACGGCTTGTGATCTGTGGTACGCCACGTCCGCAGATGGCCGGTGCCTTGGCGAGGGTTTGCCAGGCCCCCGTTGCGTTCTGTCCGGTCGGTTGAGTCCTGATCTTGCCGCGTCTCGGGAGGTGATCGCCCTCCTGGGAGACTGTTGAGGACAGTTCTAGCCTGGTTTTTCTGTCGGGGATTTCCTTCCCTTAGGGCTTTGCTCGTCCGGGAGCAGGCTACCTCTGACCTTGCCGGCCCCAACTGGTTAAGGTCAGGGCCGGTTCAGAGCCTTTGCGGGTGTGTGCAGGCTGGCTCCGAGCCTGCCGATCCCTACCAGTGAAGGTAAGAACCGGCTCTCTGTGCTCCGACTACGACTGGTTAAGGTCGCAGCCGGGTATAGGACCGCTTGGTAAAGCCATTTAAGGCCCGCAAGCTCCCCCACCGCGTCAAGGTGGGTCCCGTCGGGGGAGAGCCAGACTAACCTAACCTAACCTAACCTAACCTAACCTAACCTAACCTAACCTCTCCGAGCGCTGGTTCTCGCACACCGGCGTTTTCAAATTTCCGATTTTTTTTCCGTGACCAAGTGACGTTCGCGTCGCGAGTCGTTCGCGTCGCGTTGACGTTAGAACGAATGTCGCGGATTTGCGACCGGCCCGATGGCAGTGGCAAAATCCGTTATCACGGGGATCGGAGCCGCGTGATAGTACGGGCGGCCGTGTTAACCTTATGGGGTGAATTAATAGTTAACTCACCTGGGCCCTATTGAACGGATTGGCCCGCTCGATGTCTTGTACGTTAGAGCTCAGCAAGGCGGACCGAAACAGCTGATGGGCCTAGACGTGGGTCGTCTGGTCGTCGCTGGGTGGTCGCTTTTGTCAGCCGATATTATGCTTAGCAGTAGTTGGTCTGGAGGGCTGGTTTCTGCAGCAAAACTGACGTTCGCACTCGCGTTGTGACCGGACTGTCACCGTACACTTAACGCGCGATCCGGATTTTGCGATTGAGTTCGCGGGCGTCGGATTCGGCGAACTTTGTGCGGCTGCGTAATTCGGTAGCGATTTTTCGCGGAGGCGTCACAAAGCGGCGTCGGCTTTTGCCGGGCGGCCAGCTACGGGCCCGCTGAGTACACCAAAAGATGCGCACGGGCCGTGCGGATTTTTTGATGTATCGAACGGGTGCGTGCGGTTATCGGTTCGTTGGTGATCGGCGATTCGCGAGGAGCCGTACGGTCGGGCGGCCTGCCGCGGGGGCCTTGGTCGCCGTAGCGCACTGAATTTTGAACTTACGTTCGCGCGCGATGGCTTATTCTCTTAGTTGGCTCGAGACGAAGATTTTAAGACCTCGGGCGCGAGAATCGGAGGAACTGGTTTCACTCGGATGCGTTCGGTTTTTTGGCGGAAAACAAAAAACTGCTCGGGAGCGATACGCGGGTGCGTGCGATCGGTTTCGTGGTCGGAGCCAGACTAAACCTAACCTAACCTAACCTAACCTAACCTAACCTAACCTTTTTTTTTTTTTTTTTTTTTTTTTTCAGTTTAGAACCGACGGCGCCGCGGGAAGTGCTTTCGCATTACTGCCGCGACGCCGCCATCGTTTATTGAATAATCAATTATACATACATACATGGGGAGGTAGACGGGACAGTTACCCCACTTACCCCCCCGTTACATGACATTTATACGATTTTGCATTTGCGTTTGGTTCGCCGTTGGATGGTTGTGTTCACTTCTTAGTCTTTGCGGGCCGACCGGAGTCCGCCACCCTTGATTTCTCGTGCCTGTGGATTTGGCGGGCCGACCGCAGTCCGCCGCCCTCGTGTCTCGTGCTGTCCTCCTGTTGGCGGGCCGATCTTATTCCGCCGCCCTGGAGTTCTCGTTCGTCCTGCGATGCAGTGATCGCCTCTCCCTCCCGTGGTGTCACAGATGGTGGGGATGAAGGATCGGTGGTCGGTGACACCTCCGACGTGTCGCCGTTGCGGCTGCGATGTGTGTCTGCGATCCGTCCTTCATCGTTGTTCCTCCCGTTCGTCCTCCTCTTTGGCGGCCATAATCGCCTCGATCATGCCGGTGAGTTCGCGTCGGTTGGTCATTGCCTGCTCTAGTATCCTGAGTCTTGCCGCCGGATCATCTGGTAGATCGTCTGATCGGGGGCCGCAGAGGATTTCCTCGACATCGGCGGGACGCGGGGGCCGTCGGAGCAGGCTGACCAAGGTGGAGCGCTCGTCCTCCCACCTCGGGCAGTCGAACAGGGTGTGCTCGGCGGTGTCGTCCGGGTACATGCAGTAGCAGCAGTAGCTGTCCTCTGCTCTGTTGAATCTTAAGAGGTAGCTTCTGAAGCATCCGTGCGCGGTTAATGCCTGCGTGAGGTGATAGGTCAGGTCCATCGGGGGCTTGGTCAGCCAGCGGGCTACGTTGGGCAGTAGACGGTGGGTCCACCTGCGTCCGACGGCTCCGGGGGCGAGTGCGGCCCGATCCCATCTGGACTGCCAAGATGCGATTGAAATCTCCCTCTCGCGGGTCTTGACCGCCTGCTTCGTTCTGTGTTCGCCTGCGTCGCTCAGCCGATCGCTAGCTATTGCCCTCTCGTGTGCCAGGAGATCGGCCGGCAGCATGGAAGATAGGAGCGAAGATGCGTCGGCGGAAACGGTACGGTAAGCCCTTGTGGTTCGCAGGGCGGTGGCGCGCTGGGCGCGGGCCATTGCGTTCCTGTTCTTGGCGCGCTTGACGCCGATTGTGGCCCAGACAGTAGAGGCGTAGAGTAGTTTGCTGTTTGTGACCGACCCCAGGAGTGCCCGTTTCGCCTGGGCCGGTCCACCTAGGTTGGGCATCAGCCTGCCGATGGCGTTGGCCGATTTGGTTGCCTTTTTTGACGCGTTCGCGATGTGCTCAGTGAAGGACAGCCGTGTGTCCAGCTGTACGCCGAGGTATCGTATGGACTTTTTCACTGGGACGGCGTGCCCGTCGACGAGTAGGGCTGGGTCGGTAAAGACGTACTTCCCGGTCAGGACGACGGCCTCGGTTTTTTGTGGCGCGACTGCGAGTCCGTTGTCGCGCATCCACGTGCTGACGGTTTGCAGCACCGGATTCAGGAGGGCGGTTGCGGACGGGCCGGTCCGGGACGTTCCTACGACGGCCACGTCGTCGGCGAAGGCGACCAGTTGCACTCCGGGCGGCATATCGATGTCAAGCAGTTCGTCGTAGAACGCGTTCCACAGGGACGGTCCGAGGACCGAGCCCTGTGGGACTCCGCAGGTGGTCCTGCGTGCGGTTAACGCCTCGCCGACGAGAAGGGTTCTGTCTTGGAGATACGAGCGAACGGTCCGGTTTATGTAGGCGGGAACGTTTTTCCTTCTGAGGGCGGCGTCGATGCGCGGCCAGGGAACGGTGTTGAATGCGTTGCACACGTCGAGGGACACCGCCACGCAGAGGTCGCGATGTTGGGTGGCGCCGGAGGCGGCTCCTCGGGCGGCGGAGATGACCCTCTGGATGGCGTCCTCCGTTGACCGCCCGTGCCGGAACCCGTACTGATTTTCCGATCTTTGTCCGGTCAAGTCGAGATGTTGATTTAGCCTGGAGAGTAGGAGTCGTTCGAGCAGCTTGGCAGTTGAATTGAGCATGCACAAGGGTCTATAGCTGGACGGGGCGAGCGGTGGTTTGTCCGGGCCTTTGAGGAGGAGGACTAGTCTTGAAGCCTTCCATCGGACGGGGAATTCGTTCTCAGCGAGGCAGCGGTTAAAGGCGTCGAGGAATACCTGCGGCACAATTCTCGACACGCGGATCAGTACCTCGTTCGGTATGCCGTCGGGTCCGGAGGCTTTACCCGCCGGGAGCCGGCGACACGCCTCGCGCAGCTCTAGCGCGGTGAACGGGGGGGTTTGGCCGTCGTAGTTGAGGAGGGGCTCGGTGGCCCAGTCTGTGGCCGGTGGATCCGGGAATAGATGGTCCGCGATGGCTTCCTCCCTGCCGCGCGCCTCGACGCCCGGCCGCTTGCGGGAGAGCTTCTTTGTGACAACCCTGTAGGGGAGGCCCCAGGGGTCGTCATCGACGGCGCGACATAGTTCGGACCAGCTGTTGGCCTGTGCCGCTCGGACGGCGTCGCGTAGGGTCTTCCGCGTTTCGAAGTAGGCGGTGCGATAGGCGTCCGTCGTTTCGGCCGGGTCGCGCCTGCGGGCGGACCGTTGTGCGGCCCTTCTCGCCCTGATCGTGGAGCAGCGGAGCGCTGTCAAGTCGTTGGACCACCAGTGGACAGATCTTCTGCCCACTCTCGGGGTGGCCCTCGGAGGCATGCACGAAACGCAGGCTGCTACTAGGTAGTCGGTGAGTTGGTCGGCTGCCTGTGCAGCGGTGGTGTGGTCGTCGACGATGGGTTGGGCTGTGTTTGCCAGGTGCGTCGCGAGCGCGGCGCGGTCGAGCTTGCGGTGCGACCAGCCGGCGGCGCGGTTGCGGTGTGTGTCGTCGTCGTCGTCGGGGTCCGGCGACGAGTGTATGGAGAAGTGTACGTATCTATGATCGCTGGCGGACTCTGCGTCGACCAGAACGCTCCAGTTCGGTATGACGGCGGGAGCCGCGAGGCGGGAGAAAGTGATGTCTATGATCGACTCGGCGTTGATCCTCCTGTAGGTGGGCGTGTCGCCCGTGTTTTCGACGTTCATGCCGAGGCTCGCGGCGAGGTCAGCGAGCTGCTCGCCCCTTCGGTCGGCTCGGACCGAGCCCCACTCTAGCGACCAGGCGTTGAAGTCGCCGCAGACGACTAGGTGGGTCTGCCGGTCGCAGTCGCTGGCGGACCGGTGGACGTCGTCCAGGAAGGCGGCGTAATTGGCGGCGGTAACCTAACCTAACCTAACCTAACCTAACCTAACCTAACATGCACGCCCCGATTTGGTCTTCCTAATTGTACTCTTCGGCGAGGCCCTCTACGAGCTCGCAGGCGTGGAGACCTGGAGGCAGGGCACCAGCTCCCATCCGTTTCGTCCAACCGAGCCAGTGAGCAGTCTCAGTCTCAGCGACCGATCCAGCAACAGTAAAAAGCAGCATCTAATTAATTAACTTATAATTAACTTTTCGGTTGTAGCCAAAGGCATTCAACCGTTGTGTACATTTGTTATAATTGTCTTTTGTGATAGCCGGCGAGTGGGAGATTGGCCCACCGCCGCTAATATGTTATATATTATGTTTTGTTATTGTTATTTTTTCAATAAACGATGGGGGCCGGAGGTGAAGTAATGCTAACGTGGTTCCACCCCCGGTCTTCGATTCAACCCGAAAAAAAAAAAAAAAAGGTTAGGTTAGGTTAGGTTCGGCCAAAACGGAGGCAATAGTGCTCACTAGGAAGCATATTTTCAACGACCCCGAGCTCATAGTTGAAGGCCACGCAGTCCCAGTCAAACGGTCCATGATATACCTGAGCGTCGAGCTCGACACGCGCCTGCTGTTCACAAAACACGTCCACCAGGCGTCGGCCAAGGCATGCGAGTCAGCGCTCGCCATAGGGAGGCTATGCCAAACTTGCCCTACGCATTTTTCGTTTATAATACTACGGAGCACACATCAACATTCAACGGGTTATCAACCATATTCTTTACTATACGGTAAACATTTAGAGATACCAATTTTAAGCTATCACGAGAACCTGAACCTAGATATAATTATGACAATTACTATTTTGATTTAAAAGAAGGGCTAAAGAAGAGAAAGGCTAATAAAATGTAAAATAAAATCCAAAGAGAATTATGATAGCAATAAAAACCCTATAGAAATACACGTAAAAGATCAAATTGTATTAAGGGAACGCTCGCAAATAATAAACTAAATCCATTATGGACAGGCCCCTATGAAGTAACCGATGTATTGGACAAGGAAAATATTGTAATAATGCGCGGGAAAAGACACGTTACGATACATAAAAACCACGTAAAAAGGTTCCACGAGAATCTGATTTAAATAAGATTAGTCATATATATAGTAAAAAATAATTAACATGTGTAATAAAAAAAAAAAAATTATATAAGACCAATAGATTATAGGACGAATATATAAAATATGTAATAATTATAATGTCTAATTGTGTAATTGACAATTGTAATAGATTAAGTATTTTTAACCACAAATATGTAGCCACCATGTACTAACACTAGAATAAGAAGGAAAATGTAAAACAAAAAAAAAAAAAAAAATGTATTAATATCTAACAATTATTATGTGCTTAACCCAATGTATCACAATTTTATAATCAAATGTACTAGATTTCTATGTAACAAAGTATCACTACTTCATATAACAATGTATCACTATCTTATAACCAATGTATCATATATGTAAAATTGTTATAATACCGTAAAATGTTAAAGATTTATGTTTAAGCTTTTAAACATAAAGTCTTTTTTTTAGAAGGGAGGTATTACGTACCTACGTATTTAGTAATAACAATGTACGACGTAGCGCAGGTTTCTAATAGTACTCGACGATATAATTAATAAGGCAATTAGTATATTATAACACGCTAGGGACACTGTAAAAGTATCTCTCTAGGAAAGTCAAACATTCATACGAAGGATACGAGTTGACCAGCATACCAAGTACGAGACCCGGACGCAGTCTCATGACCTAATTTGGCCATTGATACAACCACCCACTCCTAAGGACTCGATCATATAAATACCAGCCCGGGACAAGAGCTCGGCAGACGGTTAGGGATACTCAAGACATTTGGAGTCAGGTCATAACACCGCTCACATCTCCACCATAGCTTATATACATTGTAATTTTGTACTTAAATAAACACTCATCATAACCAAGTACATCAGTATTTCATTCCTGCGTTGATGTATATATCGACCTCAGTTGGGACGTAACACATCATTGTAAAATCAATACATTTATCGTTCCACTCAGAATCTAAAATATTATATTCATGATATTACATCTTTATAGCACTTAAAGATCTTATATTTTTTTACTTACCTAGTCATTTTTACACGTAGTTTACGAAGGATTTTTGTTGTGATACTACTGATTTTTATCGTTAATAAATATTGAGTATTATATAAATATACTATAATATAGTATAATATTAAATACAATAATCTATAAGAACTGTAATATTGTTGGTAATATTAGCAACGCTGATGCGACGAAGACGACAGCTAGGTACCGGGTACTGAATTTAATATAAATGTCCATTAAAAAGTTAGCACTTTTTCATTTATAACTTAATTCCCAAACGTACGATTTTGATGATTTTTACAAAAGCAAGTTATACACAATATTTCTGATGTTTTGGAGTTTACTAGGGGCTAATTGATGAAATAGAAAGTTAGTTATGACTTATGAGCAGTGTTGAGACTTATCTAGATAAAAAATTACTCATCTATTATCTCATCTAGATAACTATTGTGCCATTTATCTATTGGTTATCTTAGATGACATGTTTACTTATCTAGATGAATTTATTTAAATTATAATATTTATTTTTCACGAAATATTCATAAATTATTCATTTTTTTTTTTTTACTAAAATTGTTCTTACAGAACACTATCCAATCTGCAATCAGTACATGTTATTAATATAATATTATACTCATAATATTACCATATTCCAGGGGCGTTTTTATGGGGGAGGCTGGGTGGGCTGCAGCCCCCCCCCCTGAAATTTCAAGAAAATCCAAAAAATATGAATGTCAATAAAACTTTATTTGTTGGGTAAAAAAGCTTGAAAATGTAATACAAGGCTCCTGCTATATTATTACAATAGCAGTTGAAAAATATTAAAAATCCTTAGTCATAGTTTTTTTATAAGCATTTAAAGTTCGAATCTTGACAAAATACTGAAAAATCACAACACTTAAAATTTTGCTGAATGTTTCCATTTTTTATACACCAAAAAAATTTGAAAATATTTTGCCTCTTTTTGAGCTATTTACGGACATTAACAGTTTTCATTTTTCTTAGTTTTTTTTCTATAAATATCAATACAAATTTTTTTGTTGGGTAAAAAGCGTGAAAATTTAACGCAAGGCTCCTGATATATTGTAACAATATTAATTGAAAAATATTAAAAATACATAGGCACAATTTTTTCTTATAATCATTTAAAGTTCGAATTTTGACAAAATTTATCAAATTTAAAATATAATAAATATTTTGTAATTAAAAATTTATAAAATGTATAATAATACATAATATAATATCATCAAATATACTTAGTAATATAATAGGCTGACTGACCGTTTTCGCTTAGAATCGTTTTTCTTATACAATGATATTATATCATTGAATTCAAATTTTACACCATCCATTACAGTGACCCACTTGTTACCTACTGTACAGCAGAGCGACATCCACTTACCCACTTTTTGTTTATTGTGTGACTATGTTGATAATTTTGTTCAGCCCCTCCCGAAATAAAATTCTGGATACGCGCCTGCCATATTCCCATGTTTCACCAGCAAATTTTAAGTTGATAGGTACGTACTTTGAGGATTGAGACATTATTTTACGAAGTTTTTCGACAAAATAAATTGTGTGCCTAACTGCAAATTTGCAATTTAAAAATACCAAAAAAAAAATTTTTATCTATAATATTATCTAGATAAAAGTTAGATTATCTTTATCTTATCTAGATAAATGTAAAATATATTTATCTTTATCTGTATCTAGATAATTTTTTATAAAATCATCTGTATCTTATCTAGATAAAATTTTCGTTATCTATTCTCAACACTGCTTATGAGTATGTCTTATAACAAATTTACCTGCATTTAACACAGTTTAAATAAGCAACTCTTGCTTCGATATACATCATACAACGTCGCACGGTTATTATTTTTTTTTTAATTACGACCGTGTCGCTGGATATCAATAATAATAGTGGTCTTTAAAAAAAATTAACTCTCTATTTTGTATTAAGTAAATCTTGTATTGTACTTTATTGTTATTATTCTAATTTAAGTTTAATGTCTAATTTGAGAACCTCTCACCTTCAACCCAAGCTTTTGCTTATAGGAGGTGAGCAAACTTACTACTGTATTAATTATATAATTGAAAATGGGAATTGTTTGCAAATAAAATAAATTTTTTATTATATTATTATTGTTAACGCGCTCGAAATTCTAATGCTGTGGGCCGACGAGAACGATAAACATACTAGCTGGCTAGTAACACACGTCGTCGTCTGGGAGATTTTCTCGGAGATCGGTCTATGTGTTGAAAGATTCTTATTTAGTTCATTTACAACTGTCGATTGAATCCAAACGTTCGCTCACAAATATTATATTCTCTCAAAAATTTAATTATGGCAACAGAACACTACGACATCGACCGCGAAGACGGTGACGGAATGGAGGGGAGGATGCGGGAAAGAGCACGGACGGTGCGCGGCGGTAAGTCACCCGCGCACGTTTTCCGACCTGCACCCGCGGCGCGACGGGTTACCTGGCGTGGCGAGCTCGGTCGTCGAAGACGCGCAAGACCCTCTGGCGGCTTGGCGAGCGCCCGACCGCAGTCACGGTCACGCGGAGCGACGGCGACGGTGGACGGCGACGTCAGCGGCGCCGGACTCGCAGACACTTAACAGTTTAAGGGTCTGGTGGCGCGCGGCGGCCGAAGGGACGACGCCAGGGCGAAAATTACCGAGAGTCGAGGTCCGTGTGGTCAC